TATATTTATAGTTAAACATGGTACACTGATGAGCATGTATATATGATAACGATCAATAATTCCCGGGATTGGTAAATAGCTTTCTAATCAAACAGAAATCGAAATTATTTTTACAAGATGTGCCCCAACAGCACCCAAACGACACTTTTCAAAATTTTATATTATTTCAGTCACGAGTTCAAAACATTTCTTTAGTGCTTTCAAAACAATGGACAAAGCGAAATTTTTTGTGCTGATTAAACAATGCTTTTTGATGGGCAGAAAGGCCATTCAAGGTCAGCATATGGCCATTTTTCTTCAATGAAAAAACAATTTTTCCCTTAGTTTGAGAACATTCAACACATGTCCTATGGGCATCGGTGGCGCTCAACGCAGTGGGTATCCTAAAAATATCAAAAGGCGCTATGGAATAAATGCACCGAGTCACGAATCGTCGATGGCTACAATGACAAATGCCGCTACTCTATCCATACATTCTCTCATGGAATTTTATCTGTTTGCAAATGTCATAAAGATGCTTAAGAAGAAAAACTGAGCTTATTAGATAAATTAAGGTTTATTTTGGCAAAAGGAATCCTTGCATTGATCGTAACTCTTTCAAAGGAAAAAAATTCAAATTTTGAAAAAAAAAAAAGTATATTTTTTGATTAATCCCAGGAATTATTGACCGATATTCATACATATATATACACATATATATATACACATATATATACATATACATAGTGTCATATATTTACTTAAACGTGCGCTATGAGTATCTGTGTAACTCAAAACATCATAACCTAAGTCTTACCGATAACCCGCAACTTATAGGCGGCAATTATGAAATTTTAATTTAATTGGCAAAGGCATTCATTACATTCATCTAGATTCTATATATATATATATATAGGTTCTACATATATAGATTCTATATATATATATATATATATATATATATATATATATATATATATATTCTTAGACGGTTCTTAGACATTAGACTAAAAATCATAATAGAACGCAATTTATTCCCGATGATAAGAAAATATGTATAAATTCGCGATAGATGATTTAAATTTTCGTGTAAACATAGATTTGGCAGATTCCAACAAAATAGAAGTCGATAGCTTTTTCTTTTTTTTTTGTTGTTTTTATTTACTTTTGAAAATTTGCCAAATTTTTATAAACATTGTAGAACAAGATAAAGCAAAATTCAAAATAATTTATTATATTTGATAAAAAAAATTAATGTAAAGATGAGAAATCTAGTTTATACCTTAATAGGATGCAATAGAAAAAACTATGATAATTAAGTTTTAACACAATTTCATGAATCTTTATATTTCTTATCTCTGTTTTAATTAAATGTAAACCACACCACAAACTCTTCTGTATACCACAATACTCTTCTTAATTCTGTATACAATGAAATAAATAGAATTTTTGTAGATTATTTCGAGTAGAGAGACAAGACAACAAAAAGAGAGCGTTGCATTGGAAAGCAATTAAAATTCAGTTTAGCAATTTATGTTAGAAATATTTGAAATAACACAAGTTGTGAAGGAAACTCTTCCGAACTAAGATAAAAAATTGCGGTTACTGGCTTGGCAGAGAGATTGCAAACTCTTCCTTAAGAAGAAAGAAAACAAATCTAATTAAATTTGTTGCTTAAAGGCTTGATCCGTTATCTAGCAGGAAGAACTGACGAAAGTGTAAGTGTTGAGTGTTCTGGGACTGGTATTAACTATGCATAATTTACATTACGTTTTATTTTGAGAGAAAAGGCAAACATAATTTACTCTGCGGAAAATATATACTTTCTTTTGGAATCGATTCTTCTTCTTCTTTTTCTTGCTGGTCCTTTTAAAAGTCGGTTTAAAATTAGTGAGACGTTCCTCCGCCATGACTTTCTACATCATTTTTCAAAAAGATCTTATGTATTTCATTGGGAGTGGTTGAAAGAGTAAGAAACACGTATAAATTTTTATCTACATCGAAGCAATACGTACTGATAATACTTTAGATACTTCGTCAATTAGTCCGAGGAAAAAAGCTTTATTGCAAAATTCGATTTAATTCATGAAAATAAGCTCCTTGGAGAGTAAAACAATCGATGCAAGGTTTCTCTAACATTTTGATGCCTTTTACAGTTCGAGAAAGACGCTTCAATCTCTTCATCATTATTGCATGCGAAGCTTTTTACCTGATGGAGTGTCTGCCTTAATAATTTGCGCGATCTTTATTAAATTTATTCACTATTACTCGGCGACGTGCTTGGCAATTCTTCATTGTAGCGCGAATGTTGATTTCTATGACGTCACGACCATTACAAACATTGGAGGAGTTTTACAGAATTCTTTGAACTTGATTCACTGAATTAGTTAACCTTTACACCAGAGCACGTGACGCAACGAACCTTTATTGTGCTATGAAGAACGATTCCTAACACTAATGACTTATTTTATTTATATATACATAATGTTGGTTTCTATGGCCCCACGACCATTACAAGCATTGGAAGAGTCTTACAGAGTCCTATGAACTTGATTCACTCAATTTTAGCTACCCTTCATAACCAGAGCATATGGCGCAGCGAATCTTTATTGTGCTATGAAGAACGATTCCTAACACTAATGACTTATTTTATTTTGTGAAATTGATTTAAATTAATTTACGTATTAAAGCGGACATAATTCTTACTAGATCACTGCATCACGATCTTTCGCATTTAGTTATTAGCCAATCTACCAATCCTACGTAAATGATGTACGTTTCATCATTGCTAGATTGAATTGAATTGCAATGCTAATTCAAAACTTGTATAATTTATCAAATATTTGCGCAGTTCTTTCATGTATTCCATACAAACAGACAGACTGAGTTCCCATCGTACCGTATCTAGTGATTCGTTTAGCTATTAATTTAACTTCTTATGTGAATTGAAAATTATAGCATTAACATAGCATAATCGTTCCAAAATTAATGCAATCCTCTCTCTCTCTCTCTCTCTCTCTCTCTCGCATTCACTCACGCACTCATTCACTGCAGATCACCTGCAGATATTTCTCAGAAAAATGCGTGAACGAAGTAAAAATATTTCAATTAAATTCTATTATGCAATTACTTAGCTAAGAGATTAAAAAGCCAATTTTCTTTTAATGATTAAATAAACGTTTTGATCGGGTATTTCGCATGTATATAATAAAATTTCTATTAAGTTGAAATTTTTAATTTCATATTAAATTTTTATAATGTCAGTCACAGCAATGCTATTTGCATTTATTTCGATATACCCTATTGCTGCGATGCTTTTGCTGTGGGTGCAAACACAACCACGAAAACTGTAAATATACATAAAATATTTAAAAGCGATTCTAAATCATTGAACACTCATTTCCTTGAAAATGTTTAGGGTGAAAAGTGCTTTCAAACAATTTTTAAAAAAGCAAATCCAGATGTTTTCATTCACAGCGTGCACTAATGAATGGCCATGCAAGAGCCGCAAAAAATAAAAATAGGGGCTTTAACAGCACTTACCGAGTGTTGTTCTAAATGTCTATGTAAAGGATTTTCGTTTAAACACTTTTCTTTTAGCTAAAAATAAACTAACGATTTTTATTATAAGAAATTTATTTTTAAATCTAACGTCGCAGAGTTTCGGTAAACTGGTTTTCTCATTCCATTTGTAAACCATGAAATACCTATTATTATCAATGCCTGTCAAAGCTTTGCTCACGCTTGATTTTCCTACCTAATCGTATCAAGCAAGGCACGTGTTACTTATACAATGATAGGTGAAATTTTCGATCAATATTTTCAGGGAAACTAAATGTCGTATGCAAAGTTTAATTATATTTTGAAGATACACTGAGAAAGAAGACGTGCATTTCTAATGCATTTCGGTTCTTTTTCTCCCCAACCAGGAAGACACTGTGTCTAAAAATAACAAAAGACCTCTACTATAGATGGTATGTGCCCAGTATGGCCCAACCACGAGAATGAGTATCAATTCATTTTTAATTGGCTTTCTGACTTCATTGCCGAGTCACTACTAGCAGCACTTAGGTGCAACCATCTAAACCCAAGACATTTTCAATATCCATATATAAACATCTATTCACATGCCCGTCAATTGTGAATGTAGACGGTACATTTCTACTTTTTATTTCTTTTCCTATATTCGCGAGCGTACGAATAATCACTAACCAAGAGAAAGTCGGAAGGACATAAGTAATATTAAAAAAAAAGTATACACATAATAAAATAAAAGGAAAGTGTAAAGGTTAAAAGTGTTAAAAAAAAAGTGAACCTTGATTTTGTGAGTGGAGAATGGAAGAAAGAAGGACTACCACGAAATATATTCACGTAATAAGAGGAGGAGAAAAAACAACCACAGAAAAATGTTCACATTTCGACAAGACGCCAATGTCCCGATAAAAAAAATATATGGTCGGTATTGGTATATACAAGAGATATCGATTTGAAATTGGCTCAAGCAAAATCTACGACCGTCGAAAAATTTCGCCAAAAAAATTTCTCAATTATGGCAAAAGTTTTTGTATTTCACTTAATTGCTCGATGCGATGATAGGTACCAAAGATTCTGATTGCCACTGACACGAGAAAAGTAATAAGAAACAAAAATTAAATTCTTCCTTAACATAGTTTTTGGCGTTTGCTTACAAATTTATTAAAGCGTGCTTACAAGCGAGAACGAAATTTTTTACATTGTCTACTTTGAGGGGCAAAATTGAATAAAATGATTATTATTATTTTTTTTTTTGCTTGAGAAAAAACGTAAAGAACGTAAAGTAAAAAAAAAAAACGATTTGTCGCATTTGTAAGTGAAATAAAAAGTAAGAGCTTTTTTTATTATTTTAAAAATTTTCAAAAAAAATTTTTTTTTTTTTTTTTTTTTTTTCAAAGAAAACATAATAAAACTTTGCCAACATTTCTCTATTACATAATAATGTAATTGTAATAATATCTACAGAAATATGGTGTAAATAGACTTACCTGCCAGCATCATGCTATTATTATTTTTATTGTCGTGATCAACTGGAATGGACGAGACACGTTCGGCACGCAAGCAAGCTACAGTTGTACCCGGACGACCATTTTTACCGGATGCCGTCAATTCAACTGTCATATCCATTGATTTCTGTAATACTGCATCCATGCGTATAAAACCTTCAGCTAAGGTTTTATAACCCAAAATGGTACGAGATTTATACTTTTTACGTCGCTGTAGTAATATAACCAGTCTGTGCGGATGTTCATGATGCAAGAAGAAGAAAGGCAAATTGTAACCGTAACGTCTTTTTTATACAACATTCATATTTATTTGATTTTCAATATTTAAAAAATAATTGTTGATACACACAAATTTTTTAAATGATGAACCACATTTAGTTACAACAATTACCGGACGTAAATTAATTAATAATAAAATTATAATCCAAAAAAATAAAAAAATAAAAAATAAAATAAAAAAAAAAAACGCACAATATTTCATGATGACATGGGTGGTTTGGTTAACAAAATAGTTGATAGAAAAAAAAACACAATATTTAGATATAGAACACACGAACGAACACAGTTCATTAAGGATTAAGTAGTAGAAATTACGAGAGAAAAAAAAAATGAAAAAAGAAGAAGGTAAACAAATTTTAGATTAAAGAAACAAAGAAAATACTACATATAAATAAATAAGAAAGAAGAAAAGTGTTGTTCATTAAAATGAGAATGAAATGATATGAAAGAATTTCTTCTTCTTCTTCTTGATGTTATTCTTCTTCTTATTATTATTTCAATTAAAAGTATATCTAACTTCCTATTTTTATATGCAAATGAGAAAACGTTAATTAGCTGCTGAAGAAGGAAGTAATATTAAATGATCAATTAGTGGTGTGCCGGTAATGGAATAAATTTTTATAATTGCCATTATTAAAATGAAACTTGAAGCAAGCAACCAGCAATCTTTGTGCAATGTAAATGTGATTGAAGAAAGCGCTTCATTTTCTTCAAACTTTCATGTATATATATATATATATATATGTAAAATCTTGTTACGATTTTTTTCTTTTTTTTCTTCATAATGTGATACTTGTTGTTGATTGTTCGTGTGGTCATTGTGCGTTATTGTCAATAATATAATGTTGTTGAATAAAGTGTTATTGTTAAAAATAATGCAATCAAATGCGATAATTGAAATACGCACCTATTGCCATCACGTTTAATGAAATGTGGATATTGTAGGCTGAAATTTAAATCCAATTCAGTTTCCGCTAATGGTGTAACGTTGCCAGATGTACCAATCAATGATGCAGATACTAATTGAGAATTGCCGGCATTTTGACAGCCAACACTGGAACTACTACCAACAGCTACGGGCGAGTTACTTTGCTGTAATAAATTCATACCAATTCCGGAACCCGAGCTAACAATATTCGAAGTGTTGGCCATATTAGCCGATGTCGCTATTGTACCAAGTTGTAATAATCCAGCACCATTTATCGATATCTCATGCGAACGTAAAGTACGCTTCGAGCTTTGCATTTTCACTGCCAACGATAATGATGTCGTATCACCAGGCAATGGTGTTAATATTGTTAAGCGCGTTATAGTTAATGAGCATAATCTGTAATATGCAAAGAAAACAATAGTTAAAGAAAACGTCATTAATTGCACTGCAGACTACAATAATAATATTTAATAAATACAAATTTATTTTAAATAAATATATTTGTTAATCATTTTGTGAAAGGAAATGAGAAAATTTCCTTATTAAAGACATCCCATCCCATACATATATTATTATCATTCAATAATTAATTACTAGACTTTTCTTAAACACATAATAATTATCCCTACGTCTTCGTACTTCAACACTTACGTTCATTACGTAACATATTAAATGCATTGAGAAATTTTTGCTTTTCTAAATCTTCTTCGGACGTATTATTATGTCTTACTATATATAATATGGCCTTCAATACGTTTGGATATCATTCATAATAAATGCATTGGAATTGAGATTTCCGGCATAAGATGCTGAGAAATAAACCCTGAACAGTAGTGAATACAATAATCAAGTGTACAACTGTTACACATAAAGTGTTTGATTAAATTTATAAGCAATATAAGTAACACCGGATGGCACACCGCTTGCATGGCAGACAGACAGACAGACAGACAGACAGACAGACAGACAGACAGAGGAAGCAATCCAAATAATGTAAAGGCAAAAGAAATAGAAAAGAAAAAAAGAAAAAAAAATACGACAAAATGTGATGAAGAGAAAACCAATTGCAATTTATTCCTGGAGCAATCAACCGACAATAAATAACAGCAACACAAAAGTTCTATTTGACTTCCATCATATGGCATAATTACGTATATACAGGGAATACCTAATTAAGCCGAATTTTAGTGTAACCTAACAATTCTTGGGGATAGATAAATTGAACGGAACGGAAGCTATTGCTGTTTGAACTTTAAGTGATGCGATTGCCCGGATTCTGAATGCTTACCAAGGTTGGGTCGTTCTGAGAATTTTTGAAATTTGGTTGAAGCGATATAACGTCGTTTCAATCAATAAGTTTGACAGTTTTTATGGCACAGACTTTATTTTCGTCTTCCCTTTAAAAGTTCCCAAGGGGCAAACACGCGTCTTTATTATGTTTTTAGAAGCAATAATAAAAATCTCAACAATTTTGTTAATCTTCATAATCTTCTTTTATGAATTTTATGACACCGTCGAGAGTCTCTTTGTGTGTTAATCGGTCCATAACTTGCATAACTTACTATTTATAGCTCTCTAATAGAACAACTTCAAGTTCGATATAAATTGTCTTTCTTGCTTACTTTTCATTGCAAATCGTACAATGATACAAAGAAAATTTCCCTTAGCGCAAGATAAACATAAATTAGATAAATAATTTCCAAATTTATTTCTATGATTTGCCGTCAAATCCCATGAAAATTTGTAAAAAGTCGGGAAAGTTGAAGTCGCAACCTGAAAATGCGATCAAGACCTCATTGTGTCAGCCCCCATTGATTTAAATTTATTTGTTTGCGACTAAAACATAAATTAAACTCATGAAGGGCAAGCATGGATCCGTTCAACGGGAGTGTTCAGACCACTTCACTTACACCTTTTGCGGATGGAGCATCAAACAGACCCAGCGAGTTGGTATCGTAAGCTTACTGAATCCAATCGTCCCTATACTCAGGGGAGGAAATTAAAAAAAAAAAAAATTGTGGCAACATTAGCTCTGCGCTTCAGGTGGCAAAGCAAGATCTATAGCTATTCCGAGGTTCAGGGTTTGCTATAGAAGAAGAATTTTGGAAGTGAGGAGAACCCATTATAGAGGCACCAAGGCAAGTATCCGAAGTAATTTGCTTTTGCTAGGCTGAAATTTAATCTGGATCTGTAATGTTATTGAGGAAAGCAATAGTTGTGATTGGCTGCCTGGCATTGTTGGGACGATACTTCTCTTTAGATATTTATATAAGATCGATGGGGTAGGTACAAGCTGAACGAGAGTAGGATGAAATCAAAGATTTCTTAAGAGCGATGAATTCAGTACACAAATAATTAGATTTGCCCATGAAGGTTTCAAATTCTTTCCTCCCCAAGATTCACCCGCTTAGAGTAAAAGAAAAAAAGAACAAATTCATTTATTAGCGACTTCCAATCTAGTAATGTAGCTCTCCTACAGCGGACATTTTATCCCTTTACTTGAAAGCAAATCCCTAATGGTTTTCACTGGCGAAAGCACTGTTCATGCATGTACAATACCTATGTCTATTCCATTGTGCGAAAACATCCAGTATCGGTTTCATCAAAATTAATTACCGGTGGAAGGCAACAAAAACAAAATTCGTGATGATAAACAACATTTGGTTTTGCTATTCTATCCTTCTTATCGCCTGTAGGTAGGTAAGGGCTTTTTGAAAAACGACCATTACTGTGAATTGAGTTAGGAAAAACAACCCTACCTGTTCATTGCTAACTAAGTACTTGCGTTAACGGTAACATTTTAATTACATAAATTCTTTATCACGACACTGTTGTTACGATATCTCTAAATATGACCAACAACCATGTGCCAACTAACTAGCATGAGTCATTTGACAGAATTTAATTTCGTTTTCGCTAAGAATAGAAAAACAAATTCTATTCGCTTTCGAACGAATTTTATTTACCCATCACAAGTATGTTCACATTTCTCAATCAAGAAAATGATTTTCAATTGACATAATTAAATTATAATAATAAATTCGCCATTCAATTGTAAAGAAAAAAAAATTATTATAATCCTTTGCCTGCCTTGTACGCTAACTGCCCACTAATAATTTCAATTAATAAATTTCCACCCTAGGTCGAGCTAGGAGTTAGCGTAAGAAATACATAGGATTAAATAATTACATCTTCGCATATACGTCATACGCATATATATATTCATAAGCAAATTGTGAAAGCAAATAATCTACTCTTCAGATGTCTGTCTCTATAGAAAAGTCTTAAGAGGTAATTTTGGAATTTTATTAGATCTCATTGGGCGCATATGGGAAGGCGTTGCAATATGCACTGGATAATTTCATCCTTTTGGATTTAACTAAAGCCGATAATTAAACGGATTCGTAAACATGGAGTCAGAATATGGCAAAGCGTTCGACAAATATAATCGCACTACAGCGATGGCTTCTGCCAAAGTGCTATTCAGTGTATTCGAAAAAGTAACAAATTAAACACATACCTCTGCGCTTTATATCAGTGAGAACGAAAAAGAGTTTCAATGGTCATTGGCAGGTACGAAGCACTCCTTTCTTTCTTAATTTTTTTTTTTTTGTTTTTTTAAAGCTCTAAAGCCTTATTAAAAGTCAAATTTAATCTAATTCTTAACGACTGCACGCAACTCTAGGCAATGTTTAATGTTTAATATAAATGAGTTCGTAATGTGTGTGCTTTTCTTTTTTTTTTTTTTTATTTTGTTGTTGTTTTTAGTCGTCACTTTGTCGTAAGCTTATGTGCTTTACGAGGAAACCTTATAAAAATATTTAAATGCAGATAAATACAAAATTTAAATATTAATGTATACATACAAGCGTGTGTACATATATATGTACGCAATATGTACATTTGTAAATAAAGCAAAATGTCAAAAGAAATTAATGCGATTTTAATATAACGCCAGCCAAAGGGCTAAATGTCTGTCGCCGAAGTTTTTTTTTTTTGAATTTGAATAATAAAACGAAAAGCATATATCAGAGACATCGTATAAAATTATAGGATAATATTAGATATATATATATATATATATATGCAAATATACATATACATATATAGGTGTGACGTAAAGCGATTTATGTAAAAAAAAATTCATTTTTAAAAACCACCACGACCGGTTTAAGTTTTATTGTAAAAAAAAATTCATTTTTAAAGCCACCACGACCGGTTTAAGTTTTATACCTTACATCATCACTTTTAGTACAAAGGTGTATTAAATTTAAGCGAATGTATGCAACATTCAAAATGAGTTCGAGAGAAATTCAATTTTTTGCTGTATCGATCGATCAATCTAAGCTATTGGCTGTTCGCTTATTCCGTCTTAGTCTTTGTGTCCAAACTAGATGTCGTACATTTTTGCGCAAATTTTTAAGGAAATACGATCTACATGTTTTGGATAAAGTTTCATCAAGGCTATTTAAAATAGTTCGGATCGGATCAACAACTTCGACAATGTCCCATATAATGTCTTTGTATTAGTGTAGGGTAGGGCATTTATTTTATTTAAAAAAAAAAAAAAAAAAATTATATAAAATAAATTTTCCCTAGACTTGCTTAAGAAAGATTTACGTTCCCAACTGAATTTATAATCGTTGGTTATGTTGTAAGGAATTCATTTTTAAATTAATGATTTCATTGCGTTGCCCCTGAGTTTGCTGATGAAATTTTCCTCACTGGATTTATATTATATGCAATTTTGCTTTTTTTTCTCTCCTCTTAGCTATGTTCATTTACTAGCATTAATTGCAAGGAAACAACGTTAAGCATAGCTGTTTTGTTCAAAACTATAATTTTATGGTACGATATATGGTAAGAACTTTTGCTTTCTTTGCAATTCATTGGTCCTCCACTTTTTGCTCATTAGTATTCACAAACAATTTTTTTTTTTTTTTTTTTTTTACTTTACAATCACTTTCGTAGTAGAAGTAATTTTATAATTTATTCTTGTTTTTTTTCTTTTTTCTTTTTTCTTGCATTTCCCTCCAATCTTTACGCTTTCGCGTTTAAAATAATGCTTTCAATTAAACTGTAATTACGTGTGAATGAATGAATTCCTAAAAATTGGTTTTTTTTTTTTTTTTTTATCCAAAGCGATTCACATCGGCTAATATTCTCATACATTAGAAATATGCACGCAATTGTTGAAAAGTAATTTATTGCAAAAATGTGATAAGTGATGAAAGACTAATTGTTAATTAAAACTTATTCACACGTAAGATTGAACTAAATAATTGCAATAGTGTGTGCGAAAAGCTTGACCGACCGGTTAAATTTACAAGACATTTGTTGATCGATATGCGTCAAATATAATGAGAATCTATCAAAATGATAGGTCGATCAGATCG